CAAGCTGAAAATTCTCTGGCTGTTTCATTTACGTTAGGAACCATTTTTAATAATTTCTGTTTATAGATGTTCATATTTAATCAATTCAGTGGCCCCTGTGTTGTGATGAGAGACATAATCTATGTAATTTAATGTCAAGATTAAGATTTGTAGTTTTCAGAATGCTGAAGATTTTTATCTTGACTCATGATTACATAGTAGTCAGACTAATGGGAGGTTTTGGCAGCAGGGTAAAGGTACACATGAGAAGATATGGGAGACCTTATCGGATTATGAGATAAGCATACAGCAGGCCTTCCAGGGGTTCTCGCAATACATTTTTTGGTGGCCTCAGAGTGCAGCCATCAACTCTTGCTGGTGGTCGCACTGACAATTTTTCTTAAAATACTTTTTGTTTTTACTAAAGGTAATTAATATGCACGCATACATGTCCAAATCGTAATTTATTTATGTAGGGTTTTTTCAGACTCAGTAATAAAAATAATGTACGGTTGTCTCTCTTCATTACTGTACCTAAACAGAATAGAAACACAAATAAGGTGCTTTGCATATTCTTGTCTTTTTGTTGTTGTTTTGCTTTTTTTCATTGCTTTTTTTTTAAAGACTTGCTAGCTAGTAAGTCTGCTGCTGTGAAAAGTGATATTTGTATGTTTGTTAGTATCACTTTTCACAGCAGACTTATTCAGCTCCGGTAAGCCCTGAATGGGGAGGTGGGCAGGGAGGCAGCAGGGCCAAGGGACAATGGTGGGGCTGGTGAGCCTGGGGCTGGAGCCTGGAACCTTAGCATGTTGCCACATGGATGGAGCCTGAAGCCCTGTGGTCAAAGCCTCTCCCCCCCCCCCCGGGAAGGTGGGGAATTCACCAGCTGCCTGCATCTCCAGCATTTGTGTCTCCGGAGGGGGGCAGGGCCCATCTGCTGGTGGCCCTGGAAGGTGGGCAACTGGTTTGCCTGCCTTCCCCCAAATCACAGCCCAGGAGGCAGGGGCTTTTCTGGTAGCCACAGGTGGTTGCATTTGAGAAATGCTGCCTTAGGCTATATCTACACTTACACTGATATAGTGGCATGGCTTCAGTACTGCAGCTGCACCGCTATGGCGATGTAAGTGTCGCCACTCACTACAGTGAGGGGAGGGGTTCTCCTGTCACTGTAGTAAATCCACCTCTCTGAGAGCTGGATTCTTCTGTCAGCCTAGTGCCATGTACACCAGGGGTTATGTTGGCTTAACTTTTTAGTGTCAGGCCTAGCCAGATTCTTATTTATACAAAGACTGCTTTACCCAGATCTTTGTGTAAATGAGAATCAGGCCCTATCTAGGTGTTTCTGCTAAAGGGATCAGCTGTGAAATGGTTAATGTTAATATAAACAAGTCATTATCTGTATGAAATTGTAGTTTTATTGACTTCGCTAGTATTTTTTATGTAGCCTGTTGTAAAACTTTGCAAATATCTAGATGAATTGATGTACTCCTGGAACACCTCTGCGTACTCCCAGGGGTACACATACCCCTCGTTGAGAACCACTGATTTAGACGTTTTCTTAACAACCATGAGGGATCTAAACTTTCAGTTTAAAAATAGTTTCTATTATGGAACACAGTTCTGTGGTAAGGGTCAAGGAAAATTCTGCAGCCAAACTACAGCTGCATGGAGCCCTGCCTTTAACATCTGTATTACAGCTATAGCAATTGCTTATGTGGAGAAGTAATAAAAAAGCATTTAATGTATTTTTAGATGGGTATTAATGCAAATTATGAGCTAGAAATAAGGAGGAGGCAGTATCGGTTTACCAGCCTGCTTTCTGTAGACCTCCAGCAAGTGCTTTGCAAGCCACCAGTGGTGTACAGTTGAGTCTGAGAACCTCCGCTGTCCCAACTTTCCAATTTTCAGTACAATATATGATTGTTTCTTGATGCTTGGAAAATCCACCAGGATGTTGTAATTGTTTTGTTTTCTTATCTTTAAGAAGGCTAGCAGAGAGAGAGAACACACAATTAAAAACAATTAGAGTATCTGACAATCAGTGCTTTAATATGAGTGTGATAATACACCCCATATTCTTCATAGAGATATTGTTGTGATATGAATATGGCATAACTGAGTTGTATTTTATGGAAGATTGATCATGTGAGTTATCATTGGAAGGGTTATGACTGATTATCCTATTTGTATGCATGTATCATTTTTGTATCTGAAGTTAGGAATATGGACTATATCAATTGCAAAAGTGTTTGCACCTGGGGAACGCCCACCAGACAAAATGCAAGCAGGCTGGCTGGTTAGTCAATGGGCCATTAAGGAGAACAATAGGACTTCGAAGATTCTAATCTCCCACCTTCTTGAGAAGCTTCCTGGGATGCTGCTTTGACACTGCAGGGTCATGTGATCATGTCACCTGGTATTGGGCCCCATCTTGGCCTACTATTTTTTTTCCAGTAAGAGTGAGTGGGAAACAAAAGGATTCCTGCCATATGTAAATCCTATTTAAGGCAAGTTAGTGAGTTAGTCTAGGTCGGTTCTTCACTGAATCCCCACCCAAGATGACTGCTGAAAACATCTCAGACTGATCTGAGAAAGAAAGGACTGGACCCAGGCAAGAAGGTGTCTGGCCTGTGAAAGGAATATCTGGAGTTCTAAGATGCAAGTAAGAGGGGTTTGTCTACAAGAAACTCTACAACCTGCTTAAAACAACATTTAGGGTGAGAAATTACTACTTGTAGCCAGTTTCTTTAGTGTATTAAGCTCAGTTTGTGTGGTTCCTTTATTTGCTCAGTAATCTGCTTTGATCTGTTTGCTATCCCTTATAATCACTTAAAATCTATCCTTTGTAGTTAAGAAGCTTGTTTTTGTTTTCTATAAACCAGTTTGTGCAATTCATAATTGAGGGACAAAAAACTGTGCATATCTTCTGCCACATTGAGGAAAGGAGCGAATTTCATGAACTTACGCTGTACAGTTTTCTGTGCAGGGCAAAACAATTTGGGGTTTACACTCCAGAGTGGGTATGCACTTGAGTGCTGGGCAATTCCCGAGCTGAGTTTTCCCATGCACATCTGATATCAGTGTATGTGTCTGTCTTTCTGCAGCTGGGTGTGGCCCTACCTGCCTGTGTGCTGGAGGAAGCTGGCACAGCAGGACAGGGTGAGGGAGCCCAGGCTGGTGGAACAGGCAGGCTCAGTGGTACTCCGGTACATCAAGTGGCACCCCAGGGGGGAAATCCGTCACAATGTGTAATAGTGAAATTGTGATTTAAAGTTGGATTCAGTCTAACTGAATGCAGTATAGCAATATCTAACAACGCTTTTGTCCAGACTTTTAATATTATTTTTCCTTGGGTCTTCTCAAAGACGGATATTTAGTTTGATATTGATATTGTTGATTTATTGATACCTAGTGCATAATTTGTTGAGCTGCCATTCTAAATCTATAACAATTACTGAAATAATAATGTGGATTGTAGCATTTCAACTGATGAGTAAACCATTCCAGTAAAACTGGCATGCAGCCACTTTGCTGTGTAATAGTGTTTTTTATAAAGTATAATGATAGTAACTGATCTGGATGACATTGGGTAGCTCATTGTTGCTGACTGCTGGAAATAAAACAGACTTTTTAGCAACACATGTGTAATGTTTGAAGGTAAAGGAATCCAAGATAAATGTCTGTGTTCTGTTGAGAATGTAGTGTGAAGTACATCAAGCCAAGATTTGACTTAATGACTTATGAATCTAATCCTTCTGTGAAAGTGCTTCTGCATGATTAAAACAAAACCATATATGCTGGCAGCGTGTACAGCAATTGTTGAAATCTGAAAGAAGTTAAATGCAGATTGAAAGAATTTGTATTGCAGATTAATAGAATGTGATATTAGTGGAAAATACAGGCTTTGTTGAAGGTTTTAAAAATCATAATGCTGGTAGAAATTTTTCTGGATGTGTGTGTTTCACTGAAGAGGATTGTGGGGAGTTAGGAGAAGTGTTTGCGGGGGCGGGGGGAGGGTAAATTTTCCCTTGCAGTTTCCTTTTTAAGAGCATGAGAACCAGAAAATAAACTGATTTTACTCTGGTTACCGTCCAAGCTGAGTGAAATGGAAAAACTACAGAATTGGGATAATTTAAAAAACAAAACAACAACAAAAAACCCAAAACACAATTTTGTGGCTTTGTTTAACTAGAATTAGAGTTTCTGTTTTCTTCTTTTTTTAAATGATCAGTGTAAGTGAGATCACACAGAACATTGGTCACATTATAAAATTTTTTTTGAAGGATATGTATATTTAAAATATAACAAAAATGAGTGGAAAGCAAAACCTGAAGCAATAAGATGCATTGAGTATTTCTAGGATTCTTATACTTTAGAGCTCATTGGATGTATCTAATTAGGTGTTTTAAAGTCGTTTAAAATTACCTTGTTTTTTTTAAAAACCTATACCACACATAACATGTCCTGATTACTTTAAAAAAAAAAAAAGCTTTTATTTGACATTTTGTAAGGTTTAAAGTCTTAGTTGATTATTTAAATTAGTTTAGTGAAGTAGTAGATCTTTGAGGAGAGAAAAACAGCCTCAGAGGACAAAACCCATAAGACATCTTTGGATCTTTCTTGCTGTTTTTTCCCACTGGAAGTCTCATATATGGCAGAAGTTGATGTTTATAAAGCCACTCTGTGAATAAAAACTGGGGGAAAAAACCCAAATCTTGCGTGTGTTGGGGAGAAGAGTAAGGGTTTGGTTTGGTAACTTTTTACTATTTTATAGCTGTATGCTGTAGCATTCTAGGTACCTCAACAAAATAAATGCAATACTAAAACTTTAAAGTTTTCAGTGCATTCATTATATCAATTTCCTTAAACAACTTTTACATATAAGATGTATGACATCTTATTGTTACAAAGTTAAAAGGAAGGCCGCCTTAAATGCCATTTTAATTCAAGACTTGTAACTAAATCAATAGACTGTCAAAGAAAATGACAAACTGGTAAATTGATTTCTTTTCATTTTTAAGATAAAGATACCGATATAACTGTGAGGGATAACACAGAAGATTTCTGTCTGCGAGATACACTGAGCATTGCATCAACAGACTCCTTTGTTTCAGCAGCTGAGGTAAGAGTCAGAAGGATTTCTTCTTTAACCATACTAGAATCTTTCTTTCTTGAAAAATAAATAGATTACTAGTGTTTCTCATTTCTTACTGTAAATTAAAAGATACTAATTTTTGTGGGGAAAATAAATGGCATCTTACATGAAAAAAATGCCTCCCTCTGTGGACAACTTCCTAGTACTTTTTTTACTTTGGACCGGTGGAGTCACAATCACACTAATTCCTGTCCTCTTTGTTTTGCTTTCAGAACTGTCATTTTAGTGCTTTTTTTGTCACCTAGCGGCACATTCCATGAGTTAGCCATCCTTCTAAAAATGAATTGCTAACCACTGTAAACAACATCTTTCTGGGTATCAGAGCTGGATATCTATGAACACCTATAATGGTTCTGATTACTGAGGAAGCAAAATTTAGACGGGACAGTACCAACCATCTAAATAACTGTATTATTTTGCTCCTGCCACCTACCCATAATTTGAAGGTTTGGGGGGAAGATGCTTCACTTGTGAAGTGAATTATCTGAAATTGATTGCAATTAAACTCTTGAGCATATGTAACCAGCCAAGATTTCCTGAGTTTGGCAGCTCAAAGTAATTTGCAGTCCTATGGGGAAAAGTAATTTCTAACAAGAAATATATCTCCTGTGACTAGTTGCCCTTTCCTGTAATTTGGAGAAGAAGACTATCCAAGGTCCCTTCAGATGAGTGAGTGCTGTCAATTCAAGAGGATACAAAAAAAAAATAAGATACCCCATCTCCCATTTTTTTACATGAGCTTTCCTACTATTTAAGCAGATATGCAGAGAATGCACTCTGTTATCTTGTGTCTGCTTGGTAACAGGCCGGGGACACAGTCTTTCAGTAAGAGAGATTGATATGTTTTGTGAGGGAGATTCTTCGTATCCTGAGCAATGTTCCCTCTAATTTTTGACAGACCATGTGCGCAAAACATTTCTTCTGTGCAAATTGTTGTGCTTCTGTACAAATTTTTGTGTGTGCGGTGTTTCGCCATGTGCGTGGGGTTTAGGATCTGTGCGCACCCACACACGCGCACAGGTTAGAGGGAACAGTGATCCTGAGCCTAAAGTGATTCAGTCTCCTTAAGAAACACTGTTATAACTGGCAAGAACAATAGCCTTGGCTGTTGCCTTTTTAAATCGTCAAGGTAGTCTTACCATCTTGATATTCTAAAGCCACTAAAGGTATGTCTGCACTTCAATCAGGAGGTGAGATTACAGTACAATAGGCATAAACACAAGCTAGCTCACTAAAAATAGCAGTGAAGATGCAATGGCATGCGCTTGCCACTTGAATATGTATCCAGGGTCCCACGCAAGCTTGTATTTGAGAGATTGATCTGTGTTACTGTGGCTTCACTGCTATTTTTAATAAGCTAGATCAGGTATGCCTACCTGTGCTACAGTCACACCTCCTGACTACAGGGCAGACATACCCTTAGTGCCAGTTCTGATTCCCTTCTTCCCAAAAGCACAGAAAATGGTGTAAGATACTTTCTTCCTGTTCAGTTGTCTTGGCCACTTAGCAATCATACCCTAAACATTGTGACCCATCCCAGTGACATTCATTTGGGGATCCTACTTGTTACTTCCCTAGCAGTGAAATTTTCCATTGGAAGAGGAAGTTCTGAAGATCAAGGAAGCGGCAAAGAAGTTCATAGGAAACTACAGATTTCTCATTCAAAAGTGTGTTGGGTTATATTTTATTCCCCCGCAGTTGTTTCTGTGGGAATAAATACCTTCAGGGCCTAGTTCTAGTTCAATCCAGGTTGAGTAGTCCCACAAATAAGGAATGCATACTAAAAACAAAAAATCAGTGAAGGACTACCCACTATGAGTCAAATGGTGTCTGATTACCAATTATGAGCCTCCTTGCTGTGGAAACACATTTGAAGCCTGGTAAATGAGAAACATCTTCATATGAATAGCCTAAAGAGTAAGTGATGAAGGCCTTTTCATGTTTAAAAGTGACTACAAAGTGTATAAACAGTGTTTTCAGCATTACATTTGAAATATCAGAACTTGCCAACCTGCAAGAGGGTTTTGATAGTCTTTAGAGGGTCTAGAACGTCATAACTGTAGGTTGAAACCTGAGCGGCAGTATTCCCAGCCCCTAACCATGGGGGAAGGGGATGTTCCATCCTAACCTCAGCCACGGTTGTCCCAGTCGTCATCATACAGTAGTGATGTTCAGTGTCCCCAAAGTTACCTACAGCAAACCAGAGGTAACTCTGTGAGCTGAAGTTACTAATGTTTTTGGAGGGGTTACGATTTTGAAGGCATCTGACACTGGGGTGACAGGGATTGAATTGCCTTTTACACATCTTAAAAGCCTCACTTTAAAATTAAAAAAAAAACAAAAAACTTTTAATAGTTCACCTTTCAGGCAGTCCAGTTCTGGGAAACCAATCCTATTTGATGTGATACCCCTGGCCCGGTCACATGTGGGGTTTGAACTTGGGACTTCTGGATCTAAAAGTGTGAACCACCACAGCTTGAACTAAAGGATCTGGTTCGTTAGCTTACTGACAGTATCATACTCAAATATCTTCACATGGTCTAGTCACAAGAGAGGTGTGAAGAATCAAGCTCTGTTAATGTGGATTATCTAATTCACATGCATGCACAGACTTTAAAAAAAAGATAGATATATTTCCAAACTAGGCAGCAAGGCAGCCATCTTTTCTGATGGATGAACCTGCACTTGCTTCTAGTAGAAGCTTGTCCTGTCTCTGGGAAGAGAAACACTTTCAAAAAAATAACTGAGGCAGTCTGCTGTACATATAGGAGAATGAAAAATTATTACTTCTTGGTGTATTTCAGCTATTGGTAGAGAGGAGTAGGTTGTATTCTTTATGGGGTTGGAATGAACCACAAGTGTCTAATTCTGCTCCTAGATATGGCGTCTACTTATCCATTATTGTCTGTAGCTGTTGTACATCTTCCTTCTTGTTTCATTTCTTTGCAAGAAAAAACTGTTATTTCATCTTGTTCTTCGATTTTAGTTAATCTTACTAATCATTCTGAATTATACATTCTCTTGTTAGTGGTTTGTAAGAGTCAGACAGTAGTTTCTTAGGAATTTTTGGCAAAGCTATGAATACGTCTTTTAAAAACTTGGAGGTAGTGTGCCTCAGGGATTTACAAATTATGGAGTTAGTGCTCCCTTTGATGCTAGCATGAGAGGTTCTCTTTAAAAAACATTCCATGCTCTATATGTTGTTAATTCTGTCTGAGTTTCAACACTGTAGTATCTGACCCTTTGTGGCAAGACTTATCTCCACTGTGTTAAAAATGGGGATGTGAAGCGTACATGTTAGAGTGTCAGTGTTTCTCACCTTTTGGATTCAGAGAGTAATTTTGTGATGGAATTGTGGCACGTTTCCCTTTTCAAATTACTAGTCAAGTTTATTGTTCCTTTTGAAGCCCCTCAAGGCTTTATCTGGACCAGGAAATTGTATTGGCAAACTTTTGCCTTTACTTTGTTTCTGAGAGAGAATTTGACGGACCATTCCTAGACATTAGGAACTTTAAATTGTGTTACGGTGAGAAGGGAAAAGAAGAAATGGCAGATGAGATGACAGTGTTACAGATGTATTTTCAAAGATTATTCATTGATACAGGCACCTTTTTCAAGTTAAAGTTAGAGCACATTCCTTTCTGTCTCAGATATCTTTGTAAGCTAAGAGAAGTCAGTCATACATAGAAGAAATTTTCAAGCCAACTGCCTGATCCTACTTGCATTCCTTTGCCAGACATTATTTTTCAGAAACATTAACTTCCACTGAAGCAGCTTTTGCACACAGATGTCACGACAGTTGTACCCTTTTAATTTTCTGTCCTAATTAATAGCTGGTGGATTGACACTTAGTTTGAGTGGTAGATACAGCTAAAGAAATTTAACTACAAATTTTGTTTCTTGCTTTTAGACCCAGGATCTGATCCTGTTCACACTGTGTTGACTGTAGAAACAGAATACATTATTTGGGAGGGTCCTGCTGTTCTTTATGCTTTAAAAGATTTTCTTGAAATCTACAACTGGAAGGTATTTGAAGAAAGTACCTTTTAATTTATTGCATACAATCTGACTGAGACCACATCCATAAATTCTAGACTCAATTGGAAATAAAAGTTCCGGAGATAGGGGGACACTTGTGAGGAATGGGGCTGGGCCTGAAGGTTGCATGGCAGGTGAGTTCTCGAGACCACAGGCATTCTGACCCAGATCCTCAGCTATGTCACAGTGCTAATCAGACTTTAAAAATACCTTTGTGCTCCTGAAGTTTTAGCAATTGCTTGGGAATAGTTCAGTCTCAGGTAGGGGCTATGGTTGGCTAGAGTGGCCACCAAGGAGCCATTTTGGTAGCTGAGAATAGCCAGCAATTCACAGGCCATATTCCCAGCACAGGTTCCCTCCCTGAGAGAGAGCCTGCTCTATACTGACAGGTATTCCTGAGGGGGCAGGAAGTTACAGACCTTTTATGTTACCAGAGCAGGGTCATGAATAGGCCCTTTGTTTCTTCATGGCTTCCAAGAGCATTTGTCTTTTCTTCCTATAGAATCATAGAATATCAGGGTTGGAAGGGACCCCAGAAGGTCATCTAGTCCAACCCCCGGCTTGAAGCAGGACCAATTCCCAGTTAAATCATCCCAGCCAGGGCTTTGTCAAGCCTGACCTTAAAAACCTCTAAGGAAGGAGATTCTACCACCTCCCTAGGTAACGCATTCCAGTGTTTCACCACCCTCTTAGTGAAAAAGTTTTTCCTAATATCCAATCTAAACCTCCCCCACTGCAACTTGAGACCATTACTCCTCGTTCTGTCATCTGCTACCATTGAGAACAGTCTAGAGCCATCCTCTTTGGAACCCCCTTTCAGGTAGTTGAAAGCAGCTATCAAATCCCCCCTCATTCTTCTCTTCTGCAGGCTAAACAATCCCAGCTCCCTCAGCCTCTCCTCATAAGTCATGTGTTCCAGTCCCCTAATC